TAACTCATTATGAGAACCCATTTGGTTTAGTCCTTGAGAATCTCATACGAGATAGGTACAATTGGTCTTTTGACTTGAAGTCATCAAGGTTCTCTCATTAGAGGATTGATGTATTTTGACATTCATTTCGATAGGCTCGAGTAAAGAGCTACATATGGGTAATTCATTGGGTGTATTAAGAATATCATAAAGATATATAGATGATTGAGATAAGACATATCGTTTCTTATATGCTAAAGGAGTTATCACATTGAACTTCGATGAATGTCTCGCTAAGGAATCCGTAGCCATAGTGGAAGTATACCAATAGAGTATAATTGATTTACTTTAAAGCTAAGACATTTAAAGATCGAAAAAAACTTATATGATCATAATCAAATAGACTATAAATCAAGTTTGAGATCACACTAAAATAAATTAACATGAGTGAATTGTATGAAAATGATTCTCGTGAAAGGTAATTGTGGATTAATTAATCCTCCTAGAGAATTGGGTAGTTATGATGTCTTGCTAAAGGCTAATCTTGATTTATGTATCAAGAGATAAAAGAGGTGTCTTTTATCTTCTTGATAAATTGCTAACATATCTAGGAGTTTATTGAGTCACATGCATAAGTTTAAACACTTACACAATAAAAGAGAAGCAAAGGTTCTTGGAAAATGTTTCATGTTTTGGAATGTTTCTTATTTTGAAAAGTTAGTTTCCTAAAATAGAAAGTCAATTTTCTATTTTAGAAATCAATTTTCTAATTTGAAAGTCAATTTCAAATTTAAAAGATAGTTACCTTAAAAGAAAATTAGCTTCATAATTTAGATTTAAGTGGATCATGAGAAATTATTTCCTAATGTGAGCTCCATTAAAATACCCGATCAAATTTATTTAGATGGTCCAAATTAATTGCTAATAAATTAGGTCCAAAAAGTTTAGGGCGATACGTGTAATTTAAAAACCCACAATATACTTTGATAGAAGAATAAACTTAAGCACTATTAGATAAGACTCGTGGTTTACAAGGATAAGGTTAGACAAAGAGATCCCATATCCCTAGCTTTATTTATTCTTGATCGAAAGCATTCGACGTAAATGTGAAAGCATGGTTAGAAAAGGGTAACATCAAATCATTTTATAGAGGCAGAGCTAACATGGTGGTTTCTCACCTTCTATTTGCGAGATGACATGTTACTCTTCTATAATGGGAATAAGAGAAACCTGGATAAGATTATGAAGCTATTACAAATATATGTGAGGGCAAGTGGCCAGTTGGTGAACTTGTAGAAAAGTTCATTTATATGCAGCTCTAAACTATCGGCTAGTAGGAAAGATTTGTTGGCAACGTGGACTGGTTTTTCTTCTTACAACAAACATTACAACATACCCGGGTGTTCTTCTATTTAAAGGTAGACCAAGAGGGGAATTCTTTGTTAACTCCGTAGAATAACATAAAGGATCGCATTAATGGCTGGAAACGAAGATTATTATCTTCGAAGGGAAAATGGCACCGGTTCATAGTGTGCTTAACTCTATTCCTATATATATCATGGAGTCCTACCAATTCCAATGTCTATATTAGCCGAATATAGGGATATATCACCAATTTTTTCCGAAACAATGGTGAAGAGAGTAGACACCACTCGGGTTAGCTAGGAAAACATCTCGCATACTATTAAAGGAGGGAGGATTAGGCATCAAGAACTTAAGGGATGTGATGCAAGCCATGAAAGGCAAACTAACTTAGGCATATCTCACTAGTTTGTGCCTTTGGAGTTGCTACATGCAAGATAAATAAAGAGAGGTAGCTTATATGCTTAATAATTCCGGACGTAATGCATCTCTCGGTATGGAAAACTATTATCCCTCATATTCAACAGACTACTCGGAAAGATCTATGTGGGTGGTTAGGAAAGGAAGTATTAACTCGTGGATAGATAAATGGACTACTATAGACCTTCCTCAACCTTCAGAAGACCTTGGAGTGATAGTTAAACAAGCGATCACATATCAATCCCTTCCTTACCGATAGGGTTAGAAAAAAAATAGACCTTATTTTCCCGAAGAAAGCACGCTAAACAAACTTTATTACATGGACTCCAAAATAGTTCAATATTGCACAAAAGCTTATCATGATACTCTTAGAAGGTATGCACCAAAATATGAGTGATGGAAGTCATTATGGAACAAATGGTTACCAAGGAAGATAGGGATATCTGTTTGGAAGTTATAGAAGAATGCATTGCCAGTGAAGCTAAATGTGAAGGGTTGCGGTATTAATTTGGCTTCCAAGTGCCACCGCAGTATGGAAGCACATGAGGAGAATATAAGCCGCCTTTTCTTGCATGGTGAGACAACCGGAAGGTTATGGGGTGATTTTAAGGCTATTTTGGACATACACACAAGAGCTCATAACATAAACTATCTCTTAAAAACTTGGTTCCCCATAGGTAATATTTTGTCACAAAAATAATTTTCCAAAGTTATTGTTTGTTCCCGCCTATTGTAGGAATTACGGAGAGAAAGAAACAAATCACTTTTTAAGGGGAGAAAATGAATGAGTTCAACATTAAAATCAAAGTAATACAATGCCCGCATGATCTAAATAGGTTATTCGATCAAAGAAAGGAGGCAGCCTTCTATGATAGCATTTGCTTGGGAATTCTAGGTCCGATAACTAAAGATCATACTCGAACTAGTGGAAAGTGGCTCGGATGGACTTTGCCTCCCCGTGGTAAGTTCAAGCTTAATACGGATGGTGCAACAAAGAATAATTTATATGGGGGATGGGGCTTTCTTCAAGATGATAAAGAAAATCTGATTATGGCATTCATTTACTTTTATGGAGCTGGAACAAATTCTAAGGGAGAGGTAATAGCTTTACTAGATGGGATGAAATTATGTCAACTTTATAATCTTCCATGTGATATGGTGGAAGCAGACTCCTCTTTCATAATAAACTACATCTCCACTAATACCTATTACCCATGAAAGCTTATATAAACTTTAAGAGAATGTCAACAATTGTCATATGCGGGAATAAAGTCGAAGCAATGTTACAAAGAAGAGAGTATAGCAGACAAATGAATTAGCAAAATGGGCTTTGTATCATACCTCCTCCAAAACTGCTTTCTCAATAAACCTTTTACCTAATTTTTTTAAGTAGCAATTAAGGAGGATCGATTGGCTTATATAACTTATGGCCTAAGTAAGTTAAGTATGAGTTTTGTTAGAGTAGTTAAATCTCTACTTAGTATGTTAGAAGTTTTTGCTGTAATATCTAATTCAAGGGTGTAGGTTTCCTTGTCCTCCTAGCTTGTTGGGATAGGCTGGTTTGTCCCCCTTGTATCTTTTACACGCTATCAATATACACCTACAGGATACCATCCTTATTTTTTTAAAAAAGAAAAGAATAAGGTTAGACAAAGTTCACATAAGCAACATCTCCTTGACGCACAAGAAGAAGTTAAGGAGAAGTTGTCCCCCTATAAATAAAGACGAAGTTAAGGAAAAGTCTCTATAGGATGCATGATCCTTCATGATAAGTATTTTAGTTAGATTGTTCTGTGTTGAAGAATAGTTGTGGAGGATATATTTTTTTGGTAGTTAGATTGGTGATGGAGGCTAAGCTTTTGTTTTTTTTTTCTTGGATAAAAGATGAATGGGAGGCTCGATTTATTTATTAAATGGGAAATAATTGTGGAGGCTCCCTTGAAAAATGAACTGAAAGGGTGTTTATATAGAGATTTTTTAGGGTTTGAGATAAAATCAACTTATGTCCTTCTTTGGATTATATTTCTCAATTTCAATGTATGTTTCATTATTTTTCTTTCATTAGCTTCTTCATTGAAATTATTTAATCCATATTCTCTTGATTTTTTTTAATTTCACACCAATCAATTCTCAATCAAGTTCCTTGATTTTCATCCGTTTTCAATTATATCCCCATTTGATTGTCACCTAGTCCTCTTTTTTTGCATCATTTTCAATTGGATCCCAAATCATCTTTTGTTTTCTTTTTTTTTTCTGAATATAAATGAAAAATAATTCTAAGAAATTAAAATCTTAAAAATTTATAAAGACAAACTATATATGCAACATTCTATTTTTTTTTTTTTTGAATTTTTAAATTTCTCTCTTTTTAATTTTTTTAAATGTTTTATGAAGATAAATAAGGGGTCAAAAAATGGGTTATTACAATACATACACCCTCAAACCTTATATTTCTATTGTTAATCAATAAAGAAGAAGAAAGTAAAAACATATAGTATTAAAGAAAAAGAAAACAAAAAATGCACAAGACAATAATGGAGCTAGAGTAAAAAAATGGGGAACTTATATGAAAAGAATATAAGAATGAAAAGTAAATTAAGGTAAACGGTGTAATAAATAATGTAACTAAAGTTTTAAAGGAGCCTAATTGAAAGCACCCTTAAATATAAGAGCCAAAATGAAATTTTAAAATATTTGGGAGGCCACCCTCATCGCATGCTATAACGCCACCCCTTCACAAGAATTTACATGGTTGAATTGAATTGACTTCATGTCACTAAGAAAAATATATCAATTGTGGGTATAAAACCTCCTAACATAATTTTTAATCGGAAAACTATTAAGATTTCTTTATAATAAATCAGATCTCTTTTCTCTAACCTACTTTTCTCTAACCTACTTATGCCGTTGAGAGTAAAAAAAAAAAAAAACTAGGGTGAGCGCTATTCTTTTAAAATCGAAAAGCCGAACCAAACCGAATTAACAATTTTGGTTCGGTTTCATTAAAAAAACCAAACTAAAAAAAAATTATATCGATTTGGTTTGATTTTTCATTCGGTTTCCACCAAAAAATCTAATTTTAACAAAAGTTACAAAACCCTAACAATTTATTTAGTTCTTCTCTTTACTTTATGTCGGTTTCTCTAGCCGTCCGCATACAACCTATTGCCAATCACCACTCACCACTCCATTTTTGCTCACCCCAAACGCAAAAACTCACATTCTCCACACTCACCGACTCACACACCGCCGACCGCCCACATGCCCACACCTAGCCCCTCCCACCACCCAATCCACTCTAGTCGGCAGTCGTCACTCGTATGTCCTCCTTCGGAGTCCAATCCTCCTCGAGCCTCGATTCGGTTCCTATGGCCTTCCTCCTCCTCCTTCTCATCTACCCATAGTTCAATAGTTCCCACTTCCCAAAGTAAGTTTTCAATTTTCATAATCAAATGTGGATATATTTGTAGTCACGAGATGTAATTTTTCTACTACACCTTGCATTGTTCTCTCGTTGTCTTCTAAAAATTATTAATGTAGGCTATGTTCGGTGATCTCGTTTGCTATTTAGTCATCTCTCGCGCTTGTATAAACACTCGTGGAATGATTGAATAGTTATGATTCTTTCTCGCTGGTTATTTACTATTTAAAACCATGTTTGAAACAATGAATATATCTTTCTACTACCTTTGTATAAAATGTTTGCCCATTTTTTATAGTCCTGGATGGAAAACAATTCATCGGACTCTTCTTCATTGTCACATTGTGTATATATTGTGATATCGGATTATGTCTTGATAGGGTAGTGTTTGGGTTATGCCATGTTCAATTGATGATTTGGTTTAAGAATGCCATTTTTTTTTTTTTTTTTTTTTTTTTTTTTTTTTTGTAATGGATGGATTCGGAAAAGGTTTAGTTCTTAATTCTTTATGTAGTCCTATAGTCCGTCTAGTTGACCAAGAATGATAAGGTTTTCAATGACATTATGCTCGGACTCGGGATTATATCTTTCCAATCATTTTTTTTTTCACAAAGTAGTCTCACTGGGTGAAATATGTGAATGAACATTTTATATATACATGAAGTGATCTTCAACGATATTCCGATTATATTAAGATGTGTACTAATCATCCTATATGCTAGCCACCAATTCTATAAACTAAGCCTAGCTTAGGTTTTTTTAAACAAAATATAAATAGGTCGTTTCTTGATAGGTCCGGGATCTTAGGTATTGGAGGATTTTTGAGAAACTAGAAAGAAATTTTCTTATGTATTTTTTCTATTTCCATAGGGATCAAAAAGTAAGTTAAATGAGGTTAAAGTTCGGCTATTAAGAAGGCTATAGAGATCATTGCAGCTTCTAACTTTGCTAATTAAGTGGACTGGATTATCCGACCAATGATCTAGCAATGCATTGCTTAATTTAGTTTCGAGCTAGGATATCCGATACAACATCAACCTTCTAGTAACTTGGTATCTAATTTTATTCTTCATAATGGTATATAATATTCGTATATATTAAACAAGTTTTGTATACATACCGCAAGTGATTATTTGATTCAACTCGTAAATAAGTAAATCATTATAATTAGTCTTTAAATTCCATTAGTTTTGAAAAATCATTTACCACTTTTTATCATTCTTTAGAAAGTATTTTCACTAAGATGAGCATTATTTTATCACAACAAGATGTTTTATGAGCTAGCTTGGGTTGCGATCCGTAAATTTTAGGCTCTATTGCAAATTTTAAGCTCGACCCATTTCAAATAAAACCTAATTGCTTTGATATTTCTCTTGGAAGTGTACATTAGGTCGTTCTAGCATTGTAATCTTTTGTACAAGCTCGTCGAGTGTCAAGTAGACTTTGTTATTTGGACCAAAGAAATAGAATTGAAATGGCTTGAAACCATATAGGCATGTATACAAATCTTGTTGTTCTAATTTTCTAATTTCTTGTGGTCCTCGGTGAGACTAATTGTAACCGTTTATGAGTAAGTTTGCATTTTTTAGCCTCTCATCAAGTGATATTCTAGTGGAGTGTCTATCTGTCTTATTCTTAATCTTCTTTTCTTTAATAGTCATCTCGGTCTTTGTTGTCCTCCAAAAACCTTGGTTCATTTGATTTTATTTTATGGCATTATAGTGGAGTACTTCTCACTTGACATATTTGCTTATTGTTAGGGTTATTGTTAAGGAGTACAAGTCGGGTATATTGTGGTTTAGTGGCTATCGGCTTATGGTGATGCAAGCTAAAATCAGCATGTTTGCATTTTTTAGTCTCTCATTAAGTGATATTAATGACGCATCTATTATATTTGATTTAATGTATTAAGAAAAAATTAATAAATTCCAATGACTTGAGATCAATCATTAATGTGATAGTTTTTTTCCTTTGTGCAAATGTCGCAAGCCGAAGATATTGTGAGTTCAAATAATGAACCACCAAGTGAAGCTCGGACAAACACACAAGATGATAGGGAATAAAGAGGAAACCAATGAAGCCAAGATCGATTGTGTGGGAACATTTCACCAAGTTTGAATATGCAAACAAAGAAATCAAAGTAAGATGCAATTGTTGTGATAAGGTACTTGCCGCTCATCCTACAAAAAATGGCACTACCGCACTTAAGTCTCATATGAATGTATGTAGAAAGCACCCCGATAGTATTAAGACTTCACGAACTCAATTAAACCTTCACTCAAATACTCAAAGAAAAAGCACTCTCAAGCATATGGAAGTTTGATCAAAATCCTTTTAGAAATACTTTAGCTTTCATGATCATTGTAGATGAACTTCCATTTAAATTTGTGGAAGGTATGGGATTTCAAAAGTTTATGTCCATTGCATTACCTAGATTCAAAATTCCATCACGGTTTACAGTTTCAATAGTGCTATCAACTTTTTTTAAATGAGAGATTAGTATTTAAGCAATTCTTGAAAATGATTTCTCAACGAGTTTGTCTCACTACGGACACATGGTCATCTATTCAAAGAATCAATTATATGTGTTTAACGGCCTATTTCATTGATAATGATTGGAAGTTGCATAAAAAGATCTTGAATTTTTATCCGGTTGATAGTCATAAGGGTATGGATTTACGCAATACCATTGAGAAGTGCTTAATTGATTGGGAGATTGAAAAGATTTTTACTATTACGGTAGACAATGCAAGTTCTAATGATGTAGCAATTAGACACTTAACGGATGTTATTAAGAATTGGGATCATAGTATCTTAGATGGGGAATTTCTTCATATGAGGTGTATGGCACATATTTTGAATCTTGTTGTTATTAATGGGTTAAAGTTTGTTAATCTTTTGATCCTTCATGTTCGAGCGGCCGTCAGGTATGTAAGACAATCTATAATTAGGTTGAAAAAATTTAAGGAATACATTGAGATAAAAAAAAAAAGATTGATTATAAGAGTTTGTTATATCTAGATGTTGCAACTAGGTAGAATTCAACATATTTGATGTTAGAGGTGGCCTAAAAACTTGAGAGAGCTTTTAAGAGATTTGAGCAAGTTGATCCTTTATATAGATGTGAACTTGATGTAAATTATGGTGAAGATGTATTTGGACCGCCTAATGCCAATGATTGTATAGTTTGTAAGAAGATGATGGACATGTTAAAACCCTTTTATAACCTTACTTTGCTTGTTTCGGGTTCTTTGTATGTCACTTCTAATGCTTTCTTTGAAGAGATTTGTGGGGTTGAATATGTTTTAAGAAAATGGCAACAAAGTTCGAGGTTGATGATTGTTTAATGGGTATAAGAATGAAAGAAAAGTTTGATAAATATTGAGGAGATGTTAAGAAAATGAATAAGCTGATTTATATTGCAACAATTCTTAATCCTAGGCATAAATTTCAATTTGTTCAATTTTCTTTCAATGAATTGTATGGTGAATTGAATGGTGAAATGATGACAAATCTTGTGAGGGAATCTATATATGCCATGTATTATTCATATCACGGGTCGAGAAGATCTAATATTGACCAAAGTGGTGGGAGAATGGAAGATACAAATGAAGCAATGGTTGAGCAAGGGCCAATAGGTGTGGTTCGTGAGATGAAATTAAAATATAAAAAACTCAAGATTGATATTGAAGGTGGAGAAAATAAATCGGAGTTGGATAGATATCTTGATGAAGCTTTCGAAAAAGAGGGTAAAGATTTCGATATTTTGATATGGTGGAAAAACAATTGTGCTCGATTTCTCATTCTTTCTCAAATGGCTCGTGATGTCTTAAAGGTTCTAATATCAACTATTGCTTCAAAATCTTCATTTTATGCTAGAGGAAGATTTCTTTTAGGATTTCTTTAACTCCTAACATTGTTTAATCTCTTATATGTGCTCAAGATTGGCTTCGAAATTCATTGACACCAATTAATGTTGAAGAAGATTTGTAAGATCTTGATAAAATTGAAGCAGTAATTTTGTTAACTCTTTATTTTTTTCATTTGTCATTTTTTTTATTTAAGATGTTTAATGTTTAATAATGTTAAAGCACTGATCTGTTTTTTATTTTTTTTAGATATAGCAACACTTTCTTTGGTGCCAACTATGATAGATATATGATGGATTAATGGTATTTTGGCCATTTAGATGACATGGGTAAGTTTTTAATTTTTATTTGCTTGATATATTAATTTTTTCAACTTGAATATTTTGATAGATTATTTGAGTTAATGAGGTATTATTATTTTTTTAGGAAATGCCGAGATTTTGAAGTTGGGAGTTAATGTTTGCATTTGTATTATGGTTTAAGAATGTGTTAATGGATTGCATTTAAATTTTTAATTATGAATGACTTTATATGGATAGTGTGGATTGCATTGTAATTATGGATGATGTTTGAATGTTAGTTTATGGATTTTGTTTTAATAATGGTTGATGTTTTGTTTTGGTTATTTGATATTACAAATCGATATATGGCTTTTAAATGATTTATCATTTATTATACAATTCCTAAGACAAATGGCCACAGCTTATACTGTTGCTAAATTGCTGGAAATGGCCATTGCTTCGTGCTTCCCGGCTCGGCAGTTCTCACCATATATATTACAAATGCAAAAGTTTGTCAAGTTTTTTTTTAAAAAAAATGGTTTTAATTGAAAAATCGAGTCGAAATTTTTGGTTTTTTAACCCAAAAACCAAACCTCAATTTGGTTTGATTTTGGTTTCTTTTTTTGCAGATTTGGTTAATCGAAAATCGAAAAAAAAACCGAAACCGAACCGAAAAACCGAATACTCACTCCTATTTGGCACAAACATATTGCTTCGTATAGTGCTATAATTCATATTGAAACAAAAATCGACAAATTTATTGATTTGGAATAATCTTAAATTTACTTTATGTATTGAAATTGTTTAACATGTAATATCATGTATTAAATTTATTTTAATGCCTTCTTAATTAGCGTATGCTAGCTCTTAAAGCACAATTTAGGAACTTTCCTAGCTAGTATAGTTGATGCCTGTTGTAATATCATGTGCAAAAATTGTGGGATTGAAGTTTCCAACATTTATATGTTTTAAATGTCAGAACCAGTTCAGTCAAATCAGGATTTCTTTGCAACGTGCAACTAGTCACTGGTCCGTCTATAAGACCGTCACATGTGATGTACTTTTTTACTCAATTGCCTCTTAAATTCGCGTGTAATTTCCAGAAAACATCCCACGATTGATTATTTCTTTGTTTGTTTGTTTTCCTATTTTTCAATAAATCATTTTTATCGAAGAAGGAAATGATTTGTGGGTTTCTGAATATATACCCCCTTTTTTCTCATTCTTTTCATTCTAATTTCTTTCTCGTATATGAAATAATCAAATGAAAATGTTTGGTATATGTCTTGAAAATTAGTTATTACTATCTCATACCTTCCTGTCAATCTTCATATATATAAATCCCTTTCTTTTAGTCGTCCTCTTTGAAATTTTATAATTAGGAACTAAAATCGTGAAAAAAAAAACTAGGTTTTGATAAAAGTTGGTAGAACCAGAGGAATGATTCGAAATTAATATTCAAGTAAAACCAGGGGAGCAAAATAATCTCTCTTTTTTTCTTTCCTAATTGATTACTTTCTTGACAAGGCATGCATATAGACTTGAAGCGAGGTTGAAAACACAAAACAATATAGCTTCCTCAGCGACTACTTAAGCTTTCCTGCAGGACTTGTCAAAATTAATTAACTCGCACAACAAGCTTCACATGAATCATGATCGTGTGGCATATACCACATGGTTTTGGCCTAAAAATTATTGTGGATGTCCGGTGGATGTAGGCTCCTTCCTACCATAAAGACTATATATGCCCTTGGGAGTAAGGACACTAAAGGGAATATATTGTAAATAAACGACCATAGATGATGCCACGTGTATGGATAGGATTAAAAATAATTGGAAAATCAATTAAAACTAATTATAATATTATTTTTTATAATTAAAACAGGTGTAAATTAAAAATATTAGAACAAAATTAAATGTTAATAAAGATTCTTTTATTTATTTAAGATTAATATTAGAGTAAAAATTAAGAATTTTTGTTTTTATTAAGATTTTTTTTTATTAGTAAAGGAAAATATATTTCTTGTTTTAATTATTATTAGTTTTTATATTTTATTATAAATGTTATTATATTTAATTATTGTGGTAGTTTTTGTTTTATCAAGGGATTTTATCCTATAGTTATGTGATTTTGTGGATGAAGCTATATTGATTTTCATGCTTTAATTTTTTAAAATGTAATCTTATGTGATGATTCCCAAAAATTATTTTTCTTTGTGACATCAATTAAGCACATGATTAACTAATGGCAATCATATATATATATATATATATATATATATATATATATATATATATATATATATATATATATATATATATATTCAATTTATTTATTTATTTTTTGGAATCTCTCTTATGCTTAGAATTTGAACCCGATAATCCCCACCGCTCTTAGTATGATGCAAGAAATTATATTTTGTGAGCTCAATCGAGGTTAACTAATGAATTTTCCAATAGACAAAGAAAGGCTTGAAAGAGGTAAAAACCTGCTGCATTAAAAATGTACATAGAAGGATATTGATCAGGGTAATGAGTAATGTAATTAATGTGCGGTTGTAATGAATGTTAGAGAAAATTAAGTAAAAAACTAAAAGAATTGAGATTACTAAATAGTAAATTACTCTGTATTTGCCTCACTTTATTATTCATTAGAGTGATAATTTTGTGATTTTATACTATAGTATTTTTGTAATTTTTTTAATAGTTTTTTGGACATTCATTTTCAAATTTTACACTTCTTTCCTTTGGTTCCTTATGTTTTCAAAATGTATTTTTAAATCCTCATTTTTTAAAAATATTTACATTTCATGTTTTAACTTAGTTCATTTTTGTCTCACATTTTTTTGAAATATATTTTTTGTTCCTCACATTTTTAAAAGATGTTTTTGGCCTCTTATGGTTTTAGATTTTAAAACAAACACATGTATCATATTATATTTTTTTATTGATTAAAATTAATCTCTTAAATTTGTCATGTATTATAAAAACTCTCATCAAATTAATTTTTTTTATGAAATTTTATTTGCTAATAAATATGATTTATCTTTCTTTGTGTATGAATTTTTAATAAATAATAGAATTCACGTGTTTCTTTACCTTATTCTTGATATTATCAATTTTCTATAATAAATTTTAAATTATATTTATTGCTCTCTATTAAATTTAATATATTTCTAACAATTTAAATTTTTTAAACATATTTTTTTAATTTGTACAAAGTATAGTAATGATGTATACAAAAAATTACCGAGATCATTGATTTTATTAAAAATTAATTATGCATCTACACATATAACACCAATTATTTTCTATTAATTATTTTTAATATTCTAAATTTAATTTATTTTAAATAAAATAATATTTTAAAAGAACTACCTAATAATTCAAATACATGTTTTTATACCTAATATTATTGAATGTTTTGTGTGTGTGTCTATATATCAAATGTACATATTTTTAAAAAGTTTAGAAAGATTCATTAGTTAATTTTTATACAAATTTTTATATTGATTGTTGATATATTTCTTCGATGTAGTCTTATAAAAAAATATTAAGATATTTTTAAACCTTTTATATTTATATTATTATAGGTTTTTATTTAAGAACGAATGAATAAAAAAATGAATCATGTTTTTTAAAAAACAAAATCTATGAAAAACATAAAGAAGCATGAATGACATACAAATTTTGATTATAAATTATGAAATTAAATAAAATTTTTATCTCTTATTTTTAATTTGATATATATTAGTAGAAAAAAATAAAAGAATTGAGATATTTACTATTCATTTACTATTATTTTAGACTTAGATTCACTATTTATTATGTTGCTTGACTTTTCACTTCTTACCTTTTCATTAGTTTCTCTTTTGTCTCTCGATGGATTTGAGTAACTCAATTTTTACCCTTGATTGATTCTCTTTCTAATTTTCTTTTTAGGCATTTTTTCATCATTTCCTTCTTCTTCATCTTTTTTTTTTTTTTCATATTGAGCATTTAATGCTCCTATATTCTTTTAATGTTTTTTTCTTTTTATTTTTGACAGGGAAGCCAACGCTACTTGCTATTCAAGACTGATCATAAATTAGTCCCTCTTTCTTCAAGAAACAAATTAATTAGTCCATTTGGTTCAAAAACTAATTTTTTTTTATCCTTTTTTCCATTTCAATGTTTTTTTTTTTTTTTAAGAAATAGAGAAAGAATAAAAATAATAAGTAAAGATATATAAAAAAAGACATTTTATAAAATAAAAAATAAATTAATCATGGTCAACACTGATTACAAAATTAAAAAAATTTATTTTTGAAACCAAAAGAATTAATTAATTCATTTCTCAAAATGAGATGAACCTATTTATAATTTAATTTGCAATTCAAAACTAATTTTTTTTTCCTTTTTGCTATTTCGAGTGGTTTTATTTTTTGTTTTAAAAACTAGAAAAAGAATAAAAAATAAGTAAAAATATGAAAAGAGACATTTTTTAAAAATAAAAAATAAATTATTTATGGTCAACACTAATTAAAAAAATTTAAATAATTTATTTTTGAAATGAAAAAAATTAATTAATTAATTTTTCAAAATGAGATGATCTAATTTATAATTTAATTTGTAATTCAAGATTCTCTTTCATAATAAATTAAGAAGTAAAATTTATAAAACCAAATTTGTAGTAGTTTTTATTTCAATTTATTGACTTTAATATATTCTATACAACATAAATGATTTTTTTAAAAAAAAATTGCTTATACTATATACTCGAATCAACTAAGTACGCCGATATATATATATGTGTGTGTGTGTGTCATTATTTTTGTTACAAATTAATTATGTATATGCATAAATAACACCAATTATTTGTTATTTATTCTTTTTTATGTTCTAAAATCAATATTTTTTAAAAAAATTAATTGAATTATATATCATCAGTTTTGTTAAAAATTAATTATGTATATGCGTACATAACACTAATTATTTGTTGTTTATTCTTTTTTATGTTCTAAAATTAATATTTTTTTAAATAAAATAATTAAAATATATATCATTAGTTTTGTTACAAATTAATTATGTATATGCACACATAACACCAATTATTATTTTTTATTTTTTTATTTTCTAAAATTAATTTTTTAAACAAAATAATTGAAATATATATCGTTAGTTTTGTTAGAAATTAATTATATATCCGCACACAAAAAATCAATTATTTGTTATTTATTATTTGTTATGTTCTAAAATTAATATTTTTTAAATAAAATAATTGAAATATATATCATCAGTTTTGTTAAAAATTAATTATGTATTTGTGTACATAACACTAGTTATTTGTTGTTTATTCTTTTCTATGTTATAAAATTAAGATTTTTTAAATAAAATAATTGAAATACATATCATTAGTTTGTTGCAAATTAATTATATATATGCACACATAATGCCAATTATTTGTTATGTATTTTTTTATGTTCTAAAATTAATATTTTTTAAATAAAATAATTAAAATATATATCATCAGTTTTGTTAGAAATTAATTATGTATCTTCACACAAAATATCAATTATTTGTTATTTATTATTTTTTATGTTCTAAAATCAATATTTTTTAAATAAAATAATTGAAATAATGTTTTGAAAAAACCTTTCAATGATTCAAATATAATTTTTTTATGTTAATAATATTGATTATTTTGTTAATAAATATATATAAATTAAACGATTTTGCTTAACGGATAAATTTGATTTACATTAATTATGATAAATAAGATTTTTATCTACACTATACTATACGAATCGTTAACATTACATATATAACGGCTGTCCGACTATAACGTAACGTTAGTATCCAACTAGAATATATTACAAGGAATAACACACAAATAGCTAGTGGCATTTACTTTGAAATCAAAGGATAATACTATTTAACACCATCGAGAGTCTTAATCAATGTGATTTTTGCAGTTTCTTCCTCAAAACATTCCTTTGTACGTACTTTTCAAGCCGGCAATAGGGCTGAGATTAAATAAGTTGAATTTGTGTCGTTCATATGTCTTTAAATTTTAAAATCTGTTTTAAGATCTTAACTTATTTGAAGGGTTGAACAGAATTCCCAGTATAGAAAGCTTATTTAGGAGATGGTCAAGGGTGGCCCGTTTCTGTCGTCTTCATCGTCTGTCAAATCAAACACACGGTTATTTGTTGATGTTCAACCCTTTCACATCTTTCCATTCAGCAGAAGAAGTAAAACAGTCAACCACGAATGAACAACATTCTCTATTAAACCACCAAGGAATATTTTTATTTTTATTTTTTAATTAAAAATTTAATAATAATCCTATTAATTAATTATGGACCCTAGCTCACCTTCCCCTATTTAAGGCAAAGCATACCTACCCTCTTACAATCACAATACACACGAAGCAGTAAAAGAAATAAAGCAAAAGAAAATATTATCTCTCTGATTAGAGAACGATATTCTACAGCTATTTTTTTTAATAGTAAACCATGCATCGCTCATCATATGTTAACTTCCACCGCCAAATTCTCCGCCAAAACCACCTAACCCAGCCGATTGCCAATTGTGTTACCAAACCTTGTGATGTGTTCATTAACCATAGAGGGATCGACACAAAGCGCACGGTTGTTACTTTGCTTTACGATCACCTTTTCCGGTTAAACCTACATCCTTTCTTGGACAACAAGAATATGAAGCCAGGAGACAAGTTGTTTGATAATATCAATAGCGCAATAAGGAAATGTAAGGTTGGTGTAGCTGTGTTTTCTCCTACGTATTGTGAGTCATATTTCTGCCTTCATGAATTAGCTCTTTTTATGGAGTCAAAGAAAAAGGTTATTCCTATCTTTTGTGACATCAAGCCGTCACAACTTCGTGTTGCCAATGATGGAAAACGTCCCATGGAGGAAATCCGGAGGTTTCGACGGGCTCTTGAAGAGGCCAAGTACACTGTAGGACTCACCTTCGACTCCTTAAAAGGGTAAAGATCACCATCTATAAACTTGTTGCTTCTGTGTGTTGGATTTGTTTAATTCTATGCATTTCAATTTCAGAAATTAAAATTAACTTGTCTTTCTTTTAACATTCTTGCCTATGTTTAATTTCCAGGAACTGGTCAGAAGTTGTAACAAGTGCGTCGGATATTGTCATCAAAACCTTAGTTGAGATTGAGAGTGAAAAGCAAATGCAGCGCCGTAAAACACTCCAATATTGCGTGCCTAATAAATAAATGTCTCATTTCTCCCTCGAAGATCAGAGTTTCAATGCGATACAGAAAAGGAGATAGATCGTCTTCATCAAGTTTTTCCAGCCTATTTATCATTCAATTTCTGTTCATAAATCGTAACATCAATCTTACATTTATCCAAAACAAAAAAAAATGTTAAATAAATTTCTTTATTTTTTTAGCCAATTGCACTCACTTAATTATTTCTTTCTTTGTAATAAGAGCACAGTTCAAAGTTGCAAGTCCAAAAAATATTTGTAGCTTTTAAGATTGTTTGTTGTCAAATTTATTTATATTTTTAACCAATTGTACTTAATTAATTATTTCTTTCTTTGAAATAAGAGCACAGTTCAATATGCATGTAATAACAAATGTGGAACTCTTGTCTTTTCTCATCGCCATTTTATTATTTACTAATATAATAAGAAAGATTATTATTATTATTATTATTATTTGCTTCTATTATGTTTCCTGCTGCTGCTTTACTTATGCAGCATATTTCTGTTTTTTCTCTCCAATTTGGATTCCAAATTGATCTGCTACAAATTGACCACATGACTTCTTTTTTTCACAAAAAAAAAAAAAAAAAAAGGAAGGGATTGGACTATTTTCAATTTAGTACTATATAACATGATATATCATGTTAGTTAAATTCTAACAATCAGATTTTAATTGATGGCTAGAATCATTTCATATACTTATTAATTAACACTAAAAACAAATAAATCATCTAATTTGATCGCCTATTATGTAAGATAAATGAAAAATTTTCCTTCAATTCAAAACATAAAAGTATGTAGATTTATTTAAGTAAAAAAAATCAACTAAGATTCGACTATCATTTTAACAATAATTTGAGAGCAGTTGCTTCTTTTTCAGTACCAGGAAATTATATATATATTCCATATGCCTATCCTTTATGATCAATGGACAGGATTTCCTTTTTATTTCCAGGTAGTGGACGGTATGGACCAATTTTCGTGTTCCAAGATAAGTTGTTCTCTAGTCTATTCATAGATATACTATCAAAACTAAATCTAGTAATTTATAAAAAAATTTTATAGCTATCATAGCTTTATTGACAGTATCGATCCACAATCCTATCTTATAGCTTAAATTTAGCAGTTCTATTCAATTAATGGATTGATTGATTCGGATACCACCAATACGCCCGCCTCGACCTTTTATGAAAGCCGTCACCCGGGTTCCTATATCTTAGTATTTTCTTTAGACAAACTAGGATTCATTGCACTTAATGGAGATCACAGCTTTTCCTTTTGCCTTGGTAAAGTATTGAGGACGAGAAGCTTTTTTTTTTTTCAATGTAAATATATTATTTGTTCTTATATAATATTTAAAATTTTTCATATAACATCAGAGTTTTTAATTATAATTCATTTGTTATTAAAAATATTTGAAATAGTCAATCTATTATTTCGATCAAATAATTTTTTTAACTGAAATATCTTTTATTTAAATATAAAAAAATAAAAATTGAAAGACTTAAAAAATAAAATAAGTAGATCATGTGATTTTAAGTTTTTTTTTCACATTTTGGTAAATTAAGGGCATGCAGTTTAAAAAAAAATTATAATTGAAAATTTTGATCGAAAAGATAGGTTGAATATTTCAAAAATTTTCAAAGAAAAATAAGATACAATTAAAAATTTAAAGACAAATTTCAGAGTTTGAGTATTATATAAAAATATGGATATATTTATCATTTTTATTTTTGATAAATGCTAAGTTAGAAAATATAAGGGGAAGAGAAAATAGAAAAGCCTAGTGGAATTTCGTAGTTATATTATATCATTTTACTCTCGTACGAGAGAAAGTCTCTTAAATTGATGAACTTAACTAACAATTCTTACCTAACATATATTTATAACAATATAAAATAATTCTAGAGACTCATATCATCAATACATTATATTCATGTTAATAGAATAATTAAAACTAACTTTTCGGAAAACTTAATTTTATAGATTTCAAAATTATTTCCAATACTCTTTGAATTTGTCAACTCTTTAAAATTGAAATGTGTTGCAATACTTGCAAAATTTATTGTTCTTGCATTTTCATCTTGCAAGATGGCTATTCTAGCCATTTATCTCCTCTTTGTGGCCGCTGCCACAGTTCTCTGGCCCATACATCTCTTTTTAAGATGTGAGTCTTTATGTGACCATTTTATTTGGCTCACACTTCTTCAGGCTGATGCCTTCTTCTCCGTCATGGCTGCTTAGCTATTTTTCTTCATCTTTCTTTTCTACATGTGCAGATGTTATTCTCAATCCACTCTTTTTGGGTCTGCCGCTCATTTGTTTTTGGAATTTATCCATTCTTTCTACACACAGATTCTATACTCCTTTGAATGCTCCATGAACGCCCCATTGTACCAAATCTAGCTCCGAATAAGCTTTGCGCAAGAAGGAATGGTTTCATCTGTGGACGCCAGACCAAAAAACTTGGCATCACTATTACCGTCAAAACTTGGCATCTAATAAGGCTTGCTTAGCCACTTTTTGGACTGCACAATTACATGCCTTTTGTGCTAAAGCCTTGTTGAGAATTTGTTGAGCACTTCAGTTCTTGTCATCGAAGCACAAATAAACTCGTGACTTTCCATATATATCCTCAAGCAAATAAAGTAACTAAGCTGTCTCCGCAAGTTCATGGTGCATGTAGTATTGGCTGTTTTTGCAACAAAGTTTCAGGAAATTTTGTAGGCATATTGACCTCTGATTCTACTGTCTCACCACAAGCTATGCATTTACTGGTTGCTTCTTGAACCCTCTATTGTAGGTTCGCCCAACGAGTAAATAAATTGTTCTTCAAATTTCTCCACATAAACACTTTCAGTTCGTTAGGCACATTCATACACTAAATTTGTTTCTAACTCCAGACCTTGTCATCTTTAGGTCAAACATTCTTTTTTTGTTTTTTGGTTTGAGTTCAGTGTTGGGTTTCTCTCCTAGTTGGAGGATGGCCCAAAGGTTTGACTACATGAGCTCAATTTTGAAGCCCATGTAAAGGAGGATTTTTTAATCACTTAAAAAGTAATTTTGGTATTTCCAAATAAGCCCTATCTTCTCTTTTATTCTGAAATCAGATTAGGGAAGAAGCAAGAGAGAAAAAGAAAAAAAAAAAAAGAGTGAGAGCTGCAACTTTTGAGAGAAAGAGGGAAGAGAGTTTTAGCACAAATCAATCACGCTAAAATTGAGTTTTTGGGTTCGTTAACCGTTGGATCAAGCTCAAATTTGGTGGGCACATTCAGAAGAGGCCGGTGCACATTCTGAACGGTGGCGATCTGATTTTAAGCCCTAGAGAGGGAGATATTGTGCTCATAACAGTGCTATTTTTGGTGAAATCTGAACTTGATTTCTTCTACTTTCTTTGTGTATCATCTTTTGATGTGGTTTGCCAAGGGTGTGTAACCTTTAATGTTTGTGGCTGATTATTCATCTAGTTTAATATAGAGAGGACTCCTTATACTTATTATTGTTGATAGTAGAAGTTATAGTGGACTCCGATCCCGTGGTTTTTCCCTTCTCAAATTGAGGAGGTTTTCTAGGTAAAAATTTATGTGTGCTTTGTGTGATTGTGATTGGTTGCTTATTTTTTAAATTATTAGTTACTTGTTTGGCTTGGGTATTTGGTTGTAGCTCGTGGTTGATTATTCAAGCAAGGGCAAAGGGGTTCCGCTATATTATTTGTGTTTCTTTGCCCAACATTCGGGCCTCGACTCTCTTCTATAGGTAAAAGGAAAGTTCTAGTCGACTTGAATTGCTCCTACAACCTTTTCCTTCACGTTTGTTCGGGTCTAATTGAGTAAAAGAAATGATAGTTGTAGAGCAAAAAGACAATAATATTGGAAGGTTACACATCTTTTTCAAGCATAAAAGAAACACGAAAATAAATTAACCAACATAAAATTAAATTCTCTTTTCATTTGGTTTTACGACCTAACAAATAAGTTTAGCATGGCTAGTATATTGGCCTAATCATGCCGTACATAAACTAATGGAAGCAATGTTAACAAAATTCAACAATTTGACTTATTAGCTATATAGTCTAATTACAATATGGTGTAGAAAAGAAATTACATGGTAGGCAACCATAAAATGAAGGAGAAATTGGTAGCATGCATTCGACACAAAATCGATGTCGTTGTTTTACGCGTCAATGAGGATCAAGCTATGCTAATGATCGAAATATTTGATTTTGCGAGCGATAGCAAGTACAAGTGCTTGAATATTCATGAGATTCATTCTTTATGGCTATGTTAATAGTATACTCTTAACCCCAATATCTACATGGGCAAAATCTACAATATTTGTAAGTCTAAGAAATGTAGCTCGATTTGATCAATTGAATCGACAAACTCCACGAAGGGATCGTCTTCTTGGGGAGAAAAGGGGGCGAGTTATAAGATAAGGATGTTGTCCGATAATTATTATGGTTTGTGGTAATGAAATGCATTTTTCATGGACAAGGGTTGGCATGTTGTGCATACTAATAGGAGTTGGATAATCTCCATCGGTGCTACGATCTCTCGTGACATTCTTGCTCGTCCTTCAAGATCATTGGACGTCCACGACAAAAAATTCTGCATATTCGCCGTATGTCAAAAATCCTCGCTATACACAATTAGCGACGGATTAGGCACAATTTCAATTCTATCATTAATATGATAGTCACTATTTCCTTAGCAATCGAAAAAAAATTTTGTCGCTATTTTGTTGAATTTTCGTCACTAAATCGATCTAAAACAGATCGTCCGTTAGGTCTTATATCCATCTTCATGCCGTTGCTATTTTCACTTATATCCATCGCTAAATAACGATGGAATAACGTGTCATTAAAATACTTATAATTTTGTTGCTAAATCTGTCGCTATTTAACGATTGTATATCAATCGTCACTAAATATCCTCGCAATTACGTCACTAAATCTATCACTAAATGAATGAGTTTTTAATTTTTTTAAAATCAATATTCGTATAT